GTAGGATTGCCCAACCTTCCTTCCGAGGAGTGGCTGGTGGGTTTGAACCGCCAGCCTTCTGGTTAGCAGTCAAGTGCCTTAGGCACTATGCTACCCTAGGATGTGGTTAAAGAGCTGTTACAAAAATCAATGATCAATGGTCCTATGGGTTTATGGGTTTATTGCAAGAAGATGGCTAGAATAAGTCTGAACAAAAATACTGTGTATGTCTTTGTTGCTAGCCTCTTTTGCATAAACTGAAACGTTTATAGAGACCTGAGTAACATAATTTATTGGGTTTTGATTAACCAATATGTGGGATTCATGTGTATGATTTTTTTAATGCACATTTTTATACTCTTATAGTCACTTAGTTTTAATTTTTTTAAATTTGATTAATTGTAATAAACTTTTATTATACTTCATGTAAAAAGAATAGTATGTCTGAAAGAGTGTTGAAGTTCATTCTCTACTCCTCATTTCTTTCATTTGGCTTTCAAACAAAGGAGAATATAGCTTTAGGATTTACTGTATTTTCATGCAAATTATTTATGTGTCACATACTTTATTCAAATTGTAAAACTCTCTCATGCACTATTTTCCTATAAGCACTGCGTACATTATATGAATGTGCATGTTATTTCCACAGACACTTTTATATGTGAAAAAGTACGGCAAGTGTGTATTTAAGAAAAAGTAAAGTGGGTTGCTGGGAAGTATATCAAATGCCATGGCTCCTGATAGCATCCTAGTTACAAATCTCCTTTTATTATCATTAACTGGAATATAGCTAAAAAATACAAAACTCCTTCTGTGATGATAAATTGAGTATTTTCAATTAGCCAAGGATTAGAAAAACTGATGAGAGGTATACTCTGATCCAGAACATGGCTTTTAATATACTTTACTGTAGTAAAACATAAGAAACAGCTCTACTAAAATAGAATACTTGAACACTATAATACTCATCTCAGTCAACTGAAACATTCAGTATGAATTTTAAAGTTCACTCAGTACTCCCAAATAACCCTTTTCTTAAAAAAAAGGGGTTACCATACCAAAGCTAGCAAATGATTCCAAAGATTTTCATTAGAATTAAGGTTTGATTTTACAAGTCACAGAAAGCTAAGAGAAACATTTCACTGGCACATTTATGAGTGATTACTTCTATTAATTCCTACCAGTAGCATCACTGGTATTTTTTACAAGCTTTATTTTGCTAAGAATAAAAGAATCAGGTAATAGCAGCACTCACCCACCTTCACTAACCAGCTCACTGTTGTCTGACTGCTTATAAGAGATGATTTTCTCCACCAGTTGGTTGTAGCTGCAGTTACCAACAGCTTTTACAATGTCATCAATCTGGAAAACAAATGACTAACTCACTAATCATGATAAGATAAAAACAATAACAAATGAAACTGCATCACTCTTTAGGATTTTATTCTAATAACAAATATGAAAGTATTACTGAATTTATGAAAAAGAAAAATCAGCACGAAAATCAACATCCAAAAGTTTTCAGAGTATAGCTTATTATATCACATTATCAAAAAGTTTTATTATGTTTCAACCATGCAAAAAATGATGAAAAATGATCATTACATTAAACTTTATTTCTTAAACTTGGAAAAAAAGTTGTATTTAAGTGATTTAAGTATTAAGCTATTCAGGAAGGAAAAATAAAATTTAAGTTATTTTTTATTCAAAAACATGTTTCACATTCAGAGTAAGGCAAACCTAACAATGTTAATTTATAGAATTAACCAAGTTTTACTTTATTTGTTATTTCAAATAAACCAAACTCACTGCCGTCAAGTTGGATCCAACTCACAGCGACCCCTCCTTGGGTTTCCAAGGCAGTATCTCTATGCAAGTAGATTGCCCAACCTTCCTTCCGAGGAGTGGCTGGTGGGTTTGGACCACCAGCTTTCTGGTTAGTAGTCAAATGCCTTAGGCACCAGAGCTCCCATTTGTTACGTAGACCCCAGCAAGTTATAATGGAGATATGAGTAGAAATAACTAGCATTCTTTTCCTGAAAAGAACTTGCTATTAATCAAGGGTAGTATTTGCCTCATGATTCTTATTTAATCTGTATCTTTGGAGGTACAGTTGAAATTTATACCTTCAGGGAGCATATATTCTAGAGACAAAAATAAACCAAATAACAAATACATGATTTGCTAGCTAGCTGTATGCAGTGGTACGCATCCTTTGTTTGTTTTCATTGTAGTATATCATAATATATGATGGATTCATTCTTCTCTTGATGGATATTTGCCTTGTTTTCAATTTGGGGCTAAGACAAATAATACTGCTATAAACATTCTTGCACATTTGTCTTGATCCACACATCAAAAGTTTCTCTAGGGTATATGCCTTCCCAAATTGCTGAGTCTTAAGATTTTCTTATCCTCAACACTACTAGATAACACCAAACTGTTTTCCAAAGTAGATGGCCAATTTACATTTCCATCAGCAGGGAAGAAAATTCCCTATGCTGTATATTTTCTCCAACATTTAATATTGTCAGACTTTTAAATGTCAGTCAGTTGATGGGTGTATCTTGGTATTTCAGTTTGGTTTTAATTTGTATTTCTCTGATAGCTAATTCACATGTTCACTGACTGTTTGGATATCCATTTTTGTGAAGTACCTGTTCAAACCATTATCTCATTTTTTTTTTTTACTGAATTATCTAATTTTTAAAAAATTATTTGTAGGAACTCTTTATACCTTCAGGATATTCATCCTTTATTTGCTACAATCATCTTCTATTCTGTTACACTGTTTTTATATTCTTTTTTGGGATGTCTTTAGATGAACACAAGTTCTCAATTTTAATGCAGTCATATTAATTGATGCTTCCCTTATGGTTAATGATTTCCCTATTGCGTAGTGCCTAAGACATGTGACTCAGAAGTCAATCTTCCTTGGAAGGAAGATTGGGCAATTTACTTCCACAGAGATACCACCTCGGAAATGCAAGGAGGAGTTGGTATGAGTCAAATCGACTTGATGGTAGTGAGTTTGGTTTTTTGGTTTTCCTTATTGTAAGGTTAAGAAGGTATTCTCTTATATTATTCTCACAATTTTTGGAAGTTTTATCTTTTACGATTAGGCTTTAAGGAACATAGAATAAAGTTTTATGGTGTGAGTTGTAGATTACAATTTCAGTTTTTTCTCTATGGTTATCTAATTGTTCTACCCTCTTTTATCGAAAAGGATTGCCTTTCCCCATTTCTCTACAGTGCCGTATTTCTGTCTATATATACATGGTCATTTATGCCCTATCTAGTCTCTGTCATTAGTCTAATTACCTACCCCTGAAACAATGACACACTGTCTTACTCACAATTGATTTAACATTTTTAATATCTAGAAGACCATCCTCCTTGTTCTGCTTGAAGAATATCTAGGCTTTTGTTCCTGGTCCTTTGCATTTCCATATAAAGTTTATAATCAATTTGTCACATTTTACAACCCTTCCCCCTAAATCTGTTGGTATTTTGTTGGGGATTGAAATTACAATTCTTTTTAGGGAGAAATGACATCTTTATAATTCTAATACTGAAATCTAAGAATACAGTGTGTCTCTACATTTATTGAGGCATCTGTTTATTTATATATTCATTTGGAGAGACTCTGTAGGATCTGGAGTTGGATTGGCTGTAATCTTTACAGAAGCTGCCCACGAGGCCTGGATCTTCCATGGTGCCTTGCTGGGTGATTTTGCACAGGCAATCTTTCACTTACTAGTTGAGTGCAGACCATCTGCACCACCCAGGGACTTTTCTACAATTAAACAGGTCTCTAATCTTTCTCTCTAGATTAATTTTTCCCCTTCTACTAATCTAGAAGTTATCCACTGTTTTCTATTCTTTTCATTATTACTCTGAAAAAAAGCACTGACCATAGAAATTTCTGCAATGACAGAAATATTCTAAATCTATGTTGCCCAATAGGGTAGTCACTTGCCACATGTCGCTACTGAGAAACCAAACTATGGCTAGTGCAACTCAGGAACTAAATTTTTAATTTAATTTAAATAACCATGCTGGGCTACCATATATTGGACAGAGACATTACATAAATTATAGTATCTATTTCTAAATTAACAAACCAAACCCACTGCCATCCAGTTAATTCTGACTCATAGAGACCCCCATAGGGTTTCCAAGGCTGTAAATCTTTACAAAAGCAGACTATCTTATTCTTCCATGGAACAGCTGGTGGGATTGAACAACCAAATCGATCTTTTGGTTAACAGCTAAATGCTTTAACCACAATGCCACCAGAGCTCCTTAACAAAGTCAAAGTCAGATGTTAATATTTTTACTCTCTCTTGAATAATTATAGGCCCCTGGAATACGTTAATTCCATTTAACTCTCCTCCCAACTTACGTTACTGTTTTTGCGTATACTAATGTTCTTTTAGGAGCTCTGGTAGCATAGTGGCTAAAAGCACTTGACTGCTAACCAGAAGGCTGGTGGTTCAAACCCACCAGCCACTCCTCAGAAGGAAGATAGGGCAATCTACTTCCATAATGATACTGCCTTGGAAACCCAAGGAGGGGTCGCTATGAGTTGGGGCCAACTCGACAGCACATAACAACAACAACAACAACAATGTTCTTTTGGGAGCTCTGGTAGCATAGTGTCTAAAGCACTTAACTGCTAACCAGAAGGCTGGCAGTTCAAACCCACCAGCCACTCCTCAGAAGGAAGATAGGGCAATCTACTTCCATAATGATACTGCCTTGGAAACCCAAGGAGGGGTTGCTATTGAGTTGGGTCTGACTCGACAACACATAACAACAACAACAACAATGTTCTTTTCAAAACCCCAAAAGATATTATTTTTGTTATTATTTTATACAGTCAACAATAATTTGTGTTTACCCAAACATTTATCATACAATTTTCTTTCCATTCACTCTTCTTTCATCTGGGATCACTTTTATTGTGACCAAAGTACTTGTGCAAAATTTCCATTAACGATGGTCTACTGGAGGCAAACTATCTTAACTTAATTAATCTGAAAAATGTGTTTGCTTTGCTCCATTTTTGAAAGCTAATTTTATTGGGAACAGAAATATAAGTGAGCATTTGTCTTCTTTCAACACACTGAATATATCATATCTCTTTTCATCTGGCCTTCATTGATAATAAGTAGTTATCAATTAAAAATGGGGAACATAACTTTTCAGTGAATGAATTTTGGTGCCCATCAACCAAAGAGCTACAGATATTTATTTGCAAGATACGGTACATGCAGGACATTGAATTAATACAAAGAACTAAACAATTCTGAAAGCTATTTCATGTAGACTTTATGAATTTCAAACTTTTTTTTCTTAGCTGCAAAATTTGTGTCACAAAGCAAGTAAGTAAAATAGATATAAAACAGAACCCTCAGGTTTATCCAAGATTTTGAAAACAACTGTCTAGACCAGAGAAGCCTGATGAACAATCCTACTCTACATAAGAATTTATCTTTTTATTTAAGTACACTATAAATTAAACTGTGCATCAGACAATATATAACTAGTCATATAGTCAGAGGGATGATCTGAGTCCAATTTTTAAGAACTGACTGTTCCTCAAGTTGTCAGCTTACTTCTTAAGAATCTAGACTACCATGCTCTGTCATTTGCCAAGTTCTAACATAGTCCACCTTGGATACATAAATTGCTAGGCATGTTTAGAGTTTTCAGTGATATTCTCAGAACAAGATTATCAATAAAGATATAAGTGCCCTACTTACAGTAAGCTATTTTTCCATTACTCAGAATACTAACTGTTCTCACCAATGGACAGTGATGAAAAACATTGCCAAATCCTTTTTATAAGTTCACCTTTCCTACACTTCCATCAGTCATTTATTGAAAACCTACTATGTATGTGCCAGGCACTGTTCTAAGGACCAAGATAAGATGTAAGAGCCCAATACTCATAGATCATACATTCCAATGGAACATGACAACCAATCAGGGAAAGAAATAAGAATTCCAAATAATGATAAGTGCTAGAGAAAAAAATAGTGTCAAAGGAAAGCAAATGACTGGGGAAGGGAGGGTGACTAATTTCAATAAATTAAGCAGGGAGGGAGGGCCTCTTTAACAAAGTGAAATTTGAGTTAAAACTTACATAATGAAGAACCAGAAATGTGACTCGGAGAACAACAAAACATTAGGATGAGAGAACAGTGTTCCTCAGTTGGGAGAATAACCAGTGCAAAAACCTTGAGACATGAATGAGCTTGACATGTAAGAACAGAAAATTAGCTAGTCTTCCTGGAGAGTAGTTAAAAAGCAGGGAAATGATATGAGATAAAGTTGGGGGAATAGGTAGAATCTAG